AGCCTCACTCACCTCACAGAGTGTTTGTTGTGGAGGAGGAAGGGAAAGGAGAATGTTAGCCGCTTTGAGACTCCTTCAGGTAGTGATAAAGCGGGATATCAAATCCAGACTCTTCTCTCTTCTTCTTCTTCTCTCCCCCTTGCCCCGCTCCTTTCTCAGGAAAAACCCACTTTTTAGTGCTAAATTGGAGAAAACCTCTGGAGAAAACCTGAATTGCTGTTTGCTCCAACTAAGTGCTAAAGAGTGGTTTTCCACGGGGGAAACCAGCAGGACAGGAGGAAGTGTGGATGAGTCCTACAACAACTTTGGACTTCAGGGTTAGCTGGGTAAATCCCTGGAGGCAGGAATGGGGAATCCCCCCCCCCATGAGTGTATTCATTAATCAATTTGTATCCCACCCTTCCTCCCCAAGGAACCCAGGGGAGCAAACATCAAAACATATATCTTAAAAATGAAATAAAAACACATTTAAAACATAAAAAACAGAACATCTCAAAACATTTACAAAGCAATAGTATACCATCAAGTGGCCAGCCTCTCTCAGCTATCAAATGCCTACGTAAACAAGAATGCCTTTAAATTTATCCTGCAAATTGGCAATGAGGGAAGTGGATGCATGTCACCAGGGAGGGCATTCCACAAACAGGAACTACCACCCATCATGAGGCATAGACAACCATGCCGCAGCCCGTGGTAGGCAGAGACAGATGTGATGGCAGGGGGAGTCAGTGCCAGAAGCTGGCTCACTTTTCAGTATTGTGCAGCTTTTTCACTCTCTGTACCACCCTGTATGGGAGTCGTCGTCCCCGGCTCCATGTGGAAGAGGAAGCAGTTCCTGGAGGGGTCACAGAGCAAGAGTGGATCCACAACACTTGGATAGATGAATGATGACATTGCAGTGGCCTGTCTAGTCCAGCATCCTGTTCTCACAGTGGCCGACCACCAGACGCCTGTGAGAAACCTGCAAGCGGGACCCGAGCACAAGAATACTTTCCCATCTTGCAGTTCCAGCAACTAGTATTTCCTTCATCATGGCTTGTAACCATTGAGAGTCTTGTCCCCATGAATTTGTCCATTCTCTTTTAAAGCCATCCAAGTTGGTGGCCATCACTGCCTCCTGTGGGTGCAAGCTCCACAGTTCAGCTGTGCGCTATGTGATGAAGTACTTTCTTTTAGTTACCTGAATTTTCCAACATTCAGCTTCATTGGATGTCCATGAGTTCTATTTTATGAGAGAGGGAGAAAAAACCTTTCTCTATCCACTCTTTCCATTCCATGCATAATTTTATAAACTTCTATCATGTTGCCGCTTTCTCGCCTTTTCTCTAAACTAAGAAATGCTGCGATCTTCATAGTTGAGTCGCTTTATCCTCAGGATCATTTTGGTTGCCTTGTCCTCCTTGCCAACCTCACTTTTCTCAGCCTGGGCCCTCCATTCCTACCTGATAGTATGTTTTTTTCCTCCCGGGCAGTAGGTGACAGACCTCTGCAGAGGCCAGCTGGCTTCTTGTCCGTCCTACTTTTTTGCTTTTTGCTCTTTGCTAGAGGGGACACGGGTGGCGTTGTGGGTTAAAGCCTCAGTGCCTAGGGCCTGCCGATCGAAAGGTCGGCAGTTCGAATCCCCGCGGCGGGGTGCGCTCCCGTTGCTCAGTCCCAGCGCCTGCCAACCTAGCAGTTCGAAAGCACCCCCGGGTGCAAGTAGATAAATAGGGACCGCTTACTAGCGGGAAGGTAAATGGCGTTTCCGTGTGCGGCTCTGGCTCGCCAGATGCAGCTTGTCACGCTGGCCACGTGACCCGGAAGTGTCTCCGGACAGCGCTGGCCCCCGGCCTCTTGAGTGAGATGGGTGCACAACCCTAGAGTCTGTCAAGACTGGCCTGTACAGGCAGGGGTACCTTTACCTTTACCTTTTAGCAGCAGTCTCTCCTCAGCCCTTCCTGGAAATGCCAGAGATTAAACCTGGGACCTTCAGCATGCAAATCAGGTGCTCTAACCACTGAGCCCCAGTCCGTTCCCTGTATCTGCGGTGCTTGGATTTGCCAGGGCTCATTTCCAAAGTTCCTCACCACTGGATCTGGAGCCATCAAGTGGCAGACGGGACACACGTGAACTGATCCCACATGTGCTGTCAGTCTGAAGATGCTTTTCTGCAGACACTAAAGCAATTATTAGCATTTACAGTCTCTTGTTCACGCGCTTTCATTTGTATTAAAAATAACAACAACCCACTTTTGCCTGGCTAAAATTAAATGTTTAACTCTTGCCCTGTGATGAAAACCCTTTCCTTTCAGTGGTGGCAGAGGCAACAAGCAAACAGTTCACTAGAGAAGAGGGGGGGGGAGAGAAACACCCTCTGAGCATTGTTTTTGGACACAAACATACACAAGTTATTAGAACATAAGATCAAAGGAGATGTCCTACTGTGTTTCTTTCAATGCTTCCTTTGTGCTTGTATACTGAAGCCTGGTAGAGAGTTAGAACAGGAGGAGAGGGAGGGAGAGGAAACCCTTTGTACAAAGATACTTGTCTCGGAGAGAAGCTCATAAAAGGTGATGTGAGAAAAGACGCCAGGTGGAGTATAAACCACCCTTATTGTTAAGAAATGCAAATAAAAAAGCCTCATCTATATTAAAACTTCCTCCCTTGTCATTTCTTTAGATGCTAAAGGATTATTGAAGTCCTGGAACTGCTAGTTCCAACCCCCCCCCCCATTCCCCAACTCCCAATTTTTCTTTTGTTTTCATCGTAATATACCATGCATGATTGCTGGTGAAAGTTAAGTTTTCTACTTTCTCAGCAAATAACAGTAAGTTAAGGGAGGAAACCTCATTTCAGCAAAAATACTTGCAGGAAGCAGGGAGAAAACAAGACTTGAATTGGAACATTTTGTTTTAAATAAATAAATAATCCTAGTGTTTCTGGGTGGTGTTTTCCCCCCCTATGAATGAGATTATCCGATGTTCCATATAGCTTAAAGAAAGACTGGTCTGTTGGCTGATGCCTTAGAGTTGTTTTGTGGTGGGGGGGTTCTGGAAGCTGTAGTTTGTTAAGGGTGCTAAGAGTTGTTTAGAGACTCCTTGTTCCCCACACTGAGCTACAATTCTCAGACTTCCCTGTGAAGAGGGGACGGTTGACTCTGGGAACTGTACCCATGGTGTGTGTGTGTGGTGTGTGTCCGTCCTAACAACTCTTGGCACCGTTAACAAACTACAGCTCCCAGAATTCTTTGGGGGAAAACCATGAGTGTTTAAAGTGGTGCCATCGTGCTTTAAATGTATGGTGTGAACGTGGCCTATATAGTGTGGCACTGGGGCATCGTCGTGTTGAGTACGTGGTCCCTGATTGGGTGGGATCACTCATACCATTACAGTGGTACCTCGGGTTACATACACTTCAGGTTACATATGCTTCAGGTTACAGACTCCTCTAACCCAGAAATATTGCCTCATCCTGAACTTTGCTTCAGGATGAGAACAGAAATCGTGCTGCGGCAGTGGGAGGCCCCATTAGCTAAAGTGGTACCTCAGGTTAAGAACAGTTTCAGGTTAAGAACGGACCTCCAGAATGAATTAAGTACTTAACCCGAGGTACCACTGTACTTCAGGAAAGAGGAAAACATAGCAGCAGCCAGGGGTGTGTGGGGATGTCAGAGAAGCAGGAAGCAGAATAAGCAAAGGAGCTGCACTTGCATTAATGTGGATTGAAATAAAAGCAAAATGAATGAGAAAGATAACTTAAGAAAAAAACGGAAGGTGCACCATCACTGTCAGCTCAGCTACTTAACGTTTCCGGAAAGGGCTGCTGCCACAGTTTCTGTTTCCTGAGGAATATCTAAATTTTCACCATCACAACATATTTCACCAAGAATTAACTTTCTGCAGAGAATGGGTCACTAATGTATCACTACAAAGTGAGTTTTTACAACTCATTTCCCTTTTTGCTCTGTGAGCTTCTGGAGAGGTTCACTTGCAAAGCATCCAAGTACTGTACTAAGTCTTCATTAAAATTCTCTGGTTCTCTGGTTGCTCTCCTTCCTCCTGTAATGTGAAAAGAGCAGCTGTCTCAGGACAGCACCTCTCTCTCTCTCTCTCTCTCTCTCTCTCTCTCTCTCTCTCTCTCATCGGAGCCTGAGATTGTTTTAGGATAAAATGCGGATCCCTTTGATTACAGTGAGATGTTTTTGCCTGATCTGTCTGCCGTACATAAAAGTGTGGTTATATCATCACCTTAGTAGTACCTCTTTGACCCCATGTATTTGATGACAGATTGTCACCTGGTTTCAACAAAGGAACCTACAGGGCCGGTTAGTCAAAGGAACTTTCTGCTTTTCCTCCTATATTTATTTCATATTCTTGTTGCTGTGAGTCTTCAGTAAGCCACTACTTATAGGTAGAATATGACATATCCTTCAATCTATTAACAAATGAGCTGGGAGCAAGCTACATGCTAAGCTCGAGTACATATTACGGTATATATTTAAAGCACATGGCTGGGGAGGGCGGGGTATAAATAAAAAATTACTATATTATTATTATTATTTCCTCCCTCAGATAATTCTGGGTACTGTAAGACCCTTTTGGAGGATCTCTAGCATCACAATTTTACTGTCAGTTTCTGGGAATGTAATATAATTGTTGAAATCCTTCCAATTGCTTCCAACAGACTGTCAAATATTTGTTTAATCAGGAGACAGCACTACTAATTATTAATACCACATTTCTCACTTTTGGCTGGGTCAGGAGGCAGAATACATAATGTCCTCCCCATATTCCAATCAATGTGTGCCTACTCATTGTATTACTAGAAGGTGATAGTGATAAATTATTTTTCTTGGGGTTCCCTCCCTTGAAGCAAAATGAAACTCCATCTCTGTTCTGTTGTTCTTTGGGGGATGAGAAGCAAACCCAGGACACTGAATCACCTTTGTTTTGTGTTCATTCTAGTTCATTTCCATTATGAAGTTTAGAGGGTCCGTGTTTTCTTTGACTTTATTTCTATAGCCCCAAGGAATGGTGTGAAGGCACATGACACAGCATCATTTCTGAAGCTAAGCACGTTGGGGTCTGGTCAGCATCTGGATGGGAGACCACCTGGGAACCCTGAGCTCCATGGAAAAAAGACACAATGCAAATGTAATAAATAAGCAAGCATGGACTTCGCTCCATTGTAAGTTCAGTCTCACCCCTGCAGAGCACAGTGTAACATCACAGGAGCACAATGTAGCTTAGAATGGGATTCCATAGACATACGTTTGGTCTTCTAGCACTGCAGCAGTGTTTAGGGAATTGACATTTGGCCAGTTATGCCTAACTAATGCTACAATAATGGATCTCCTATCTTGCCTTGTATGGGGGAAAGTGCATACCATATATATGATCTAAGGAGCTGCATCTGAGGTATAATTAGGGCTGCCATACATCCAGATTTTCCCAGACATTACCGGGATTTCAAAAGTGGAATTGACGTCCCGGGGGAATTTCTGAAAGGCAGTGCTTTGTCCTGGATCTTAGGCAAGTCAATCAAAAAATTGTGGGGTTTTTTGTGGGTTTTTGTAACGACTTTTGGGATGTCCTGGTTTTTCCTTTTTGAGTATAATCAGCTGAAAAATCTTAATAGTACATATTTATGTTATGTCTATGAGCCTTTGTATTTTTTTATATATTTTTTTGTATATTTTAGTAAATGGTGGAGAGGGATTGGGCCATTGTGAGAACTGCCTTGTTGGAATAAACCACAGTCCTTTCATTAATCTAGAAATATGTTCTAAAATAGGCCAGGTCAGTGCCAGATTTACCCAGAAGGTCTGTAGCTCAGTGATAGAGCATCTGCTTTGCATACAGAAGGTCCCAGGTTCTGTTCCTCAATATCTGAGAGAGACTCTTGCCTGGAACCCAAGAAAGCCACTGTCCCTCACTGTAGACATTAATGAGCTACATGGACCAATGGACCAATTTAAGACAGTTTCTTATGTTTTCAGCTTTTAAATGACTTACCGTATTTTTCGCTCTATAAGACACACCAGACCACAAGACGCACCTAGTTTTTGGAGGAGGAAAACAAGAAAAAAAATATTCTGAATCCCAGAAGCCAGAACAGCAAGAGGGATCACTGCGCAGCGAAAGCAGCGATCCCTCTGGCTGTTCTGGCTTCTGGGATAGCTGCACAGCCTGCATTCGCACCATAAGACGCACACACATTTCTCCTTTTTAGGAGGGAAAAAGTGGGTCTTATAGAGCAAAAAATACGGCAGGTGACATGGGCCTTTGTTTTTTAAATCTCTTATTCATTTTCAGGGTGCAGCAAGTTCTATGTCTTTACTTACCATCTTACTGGTTTTCTGTTTCACTTTTTGTAGGTGGGATACCTCAGATAGCAAAGCATGAGACTCTTAACCTCAGGGTTTGAGCCCCACCTGGGGCAGAAGATTCCTGCACTGCAAGGGGTTGGACTAGATGACCCTTGGGTTCCCTCCCAACTCTACAATTCTATGATTCTAAGTGTTTTTCACATAGTTATTATACACCACTCAGATAACTTTATGTTATAGGGAGGCAGCATACAAATGCCATAAATAATTCCACACATGGCAAAGCCTGGTATTCAAAAGGTCTACTGATTCTGAACACTGAACTGCATCAGTCCATAGATCCATGGGAAATTTTCATAGATCTGTAGAATGGGGCATTGCATTATGTATATTTAAATGGTGGGTGGTCACCACCGATGGGAGCCAAACCTGGCTCTCATTCAAAAGTGGCACCTTGTCCTGCTGCCCCCAGTTTAAACGGCCAGCCAGGGACTCAGCAAGCTGGCATAGCTGGAGCAGGCTAACCTGGGGCCCTTCAGAGCAAATGGGGCCCTTGACGTCCGGTTGGTGCTGGATAGGCCAATTTTTAAAATCAGAGGGCAGCTTTTCAAACAATCAAACTATAGAACAGTCACCCCCAGTGCAGACAATAGCAAACTCATGCTGCCTGTGTGTGTGTTTTGTACAGCTTCCTTCCTCTTTCTCAGCTCCCCTTTCTTTCCAGAGCAGCAAGAAAGCAATTTCCTTTCTTCCAAACATTATTTATACATTTATTTCCCCCCTCCAAATCTACACGCATACGTTTTCTACTACAAATAATCTCTCTCTCTCTCTCTTTTAATGAGCATGTAAAAGTTCAAGAGTGCGATCTTTTTGCGTTGTTTTAACTCTGGCACAAATTTAATTTCCCATCATCAGATGGGAACAGGTTTATATTGCACGAGGGGTTCAAAAGGGCTTTCTTTCAGCGTCAGCCCCTTTGCAAGAGTTTTTGCGCGCTCTGCACTAATGAAAGGGCAATGGGGGGAAAAACAACAGCCACCCCTCCGTCTGCGTCACAGATTTCAACCCTTCGAAAAAATTCCACTGCGGTCACAGGGTTACATGAGAGGCCCCTTTAATCATTATTACAGTTTTATGAATGGTGTGCTTTACTCTGATATTTTACTACACATCACTTCTTAACATGCTCCATTGAAATTGGGGGGTGGGGGGAGAGGAGAAGAAGAAGAGGAGAGAGAAACAAAAGACTTTGTGTATTTGAAAGACCCTGTGGTTACGAAACGTCATTGTAATTATACTGTGACACCCCCCACCCAGCTCCTCCAATCCTCAGAGCCCGCTTGGTTTTTGACATCCTTTGGTCCGAATTCCATTGAAGCCGGAAGATGCCTGAACAAATACAGAGTTAAGGCCTCAGGATTTTACTGTATGTGAGGAATTGTTTTCACTGATACGCTTAGGCTGCGACCCTCCAGCAGGGGAGGGAGGGGGAAAGAACCAAAGGCAGTTGAAATGCCCCATCCAACGCCCTTCTGAGCCCATGCCGGCAAGGCGGATGTAAGGACAGAACAGCGCTTTTGCACATCCCATTTCTTTATCTCTTTTGTGTTCTAACAATTTCCCTCCAACTGGAAACAATGGCAGGAAAACACACTGCCGCAGCTCCAGAGCTGTATTATTCCACAACTGCAAGAAATCAATCTTTTAGTGTAGCGGCACCCATTATCAATATCAGACAGGCACCTTCACTTTGTATTCTTTTTAGCACTTTTGAAAAACATTATTGTTTAGACAAGCCTACCTAGTACTCTAGGGACGTGGGTGGCGCTGTGGGTTAAAGCCTCAGCGCTTAGGACTTGCCGACCGAAAGGTCGGCGGTTCGAATCCCCGCGGCGGGGTGCGCTCCCATCGTTCGGTCCCAGCGCCTGCCAACCTAGCAGTTCGAAAGCACCCTCGTGTGCAAGTAGATAAATAGGGACCGCTTACTAGCGGGAAGGTAAACGGCGTTCCGTGTGCTGCGCTGGCTCGCCAGATGCAGCTTGTCACGCTGGCCACGTGACCCGGAAGTGTCTCCGGACAGCGCTGGCTCCCGGCCTATAGAGTGAGATGAGCGCACAACCCTAGAGTCTGGCAAGACTGGCCCGTATGGGCAGGGGTACCTTTACCTTTACCTTTACCTAGTACTCTAGGATGCTGGCGTGTTCTTAGTTTATTGCTGGTTTTTAGTTTTCTGAGTGTTTTAATTGTTTTGATTGAAAATGCCATTGTCTCATTATCTTTGTCAACTGCTTTGAGGCTTTTTTTACAATCAAAAGGGTATAGAAATTTTATGAAATAAATAAAGAGATCATCATCATGGTGCCAGTAGCAATGAAAATAGATTTATACCCCATCTTTCCTCCAAGGAGTAAAGTGATGCACATGGTTCTCTCTCCCCCACCATCCCACCCTAAACTTATCCTTAAAACAAACCTGTGAGTTAGGTTAGGCTGAGAGAAAGTGATTTGCCCAAAGTCATCCAGTGAATGTCATGGCTATTTGAGTCCTAGTTTGACACTATGATCACTGCACCCCACTGGCTCTCTCAACTGGCTGTTTCTTTTCCTATTTCCTTTTCTTTTTTTCAGTGGTAGGGTACATGCTCTGCATGCCAAAGTCCTAGATTCAATACCCAGCAGTTCCAGGTAGGGCTGGGAGAGATCCTTACCTGAAACAATGGAGAGCCACTGTCAGTCATCTTTTCTGACCTGGTATGTGGCAACTTTCTATGAACATTTCTGAATACAGAGGTGGGAATGCAGCAATCATGGCATAAGGGTGGGAGCTCAGCCAGAAAAGAGTCCCACCTACTCCAGACAAACCTTACTTCCATGAAGGTGTGCTATGAAGAAATATGACCCAATTCATCCAATATGTTACAGGGTTCTGAGAGGATTCATGGCCCTGGACCAAACGTGAGATCACCTGCCACCAGATCGAATGTTTTCAGCTGACATCCACATACTCCCGTCGCCCCCCCTTTCTTGGCAACCCAGGGTGTGAAATAGTTGTAGCCTTTGCCAAGAGGCAGGGGGGAAAGAGGATTTGTGTGATGCAAAATGTCTGGGGAATCTCTGAGGACAGGATCACATTATCTCTTGTTAAAATATTATGGAAATCAAACATCATTGTTCATTAGGGTCATCTGTGTTTTATTTATTGGCTCAGGGCTGACTGCAAGCTGTGAAGGGATTTTTAAAATAAAATAAAAATTGAAGCATTTGGCTATTTCATAATCTCTTTTCTCTGCTTTCTCCAGGTGAGCTCCAGATCCAACCACTTTGAAACTTTCATAGAATTTTTGAAAATGAACAGACAGGAATGTTTTAGGCTGGGCCTGTTTCCAGATTTCTTTTGCATAGCGTGAGTTGATGGCTTGGAAGGTAGTGAAACCTCCCTCTTCTTTTTCTTTTCTTCTCTCCTTCCTTTCAAAAAGAATTGAACTCATAAGCATTTTGCTTCTCTTTTATCTCTCTTACCCGAATCCCCCCCCCCGCAAGGAAACAGAATTTTCATAAAATGGGAAGTAATTACCAGCTACAAGATTTTTGTTTAAAAAAGAAAAGATGGATAATTCTCCCGTATAACATATTGTATCTGTAGCTGTAGGGCACAGTTTCTGACTTAGCCTATCTTCACACAAGCAGTTCCTAAGTACACAAGAAGAGCCCTACTAGATCAAGCCAAGGGCCTATCTAGTCCAGCATCCTGTTCTCACAGTGGCCAACTCAAAGGCGCTATGAGGACCCAAGTGCAACAGTGCTATCCTTAGTTGTGATTCCTAGCAGCTGGTACTCAGAGGCATAGTGCTTAGCCAGCATGGTGTAGTGGTTAAGAGCGGTGGACTTGTAATCTGGTGAATTGGGTTCGCTTCCCTGCTCCTCCACATGCAGCTGCTGGGTGACCTTGGGCTAGTCACACTTCTCTGAAGTCTCTCAGCCTCACTCACCTCACAGTGTTTGTTGTGGAGGAGGAAGGGAAAGGAGATTGTTAACTGCTTTGAGACTTAGGGTAGTGATAAAGCGGGATATCAAATCCAAACTCCTCTTCTTCTTCTTCCATATGTAGAGGCGGAATGCAGCTAGTGTTGTATCTGGTGGCCACTGACAGCCTTATCCTCCATTAATTTGTCTAATCCTCTTTTAAAGCCAGCCAAGTTGCTGGACCTAGATGTCTCGACTCCATCTTGTGAGAGCAAACTCAGCTATGCACTATGTGAAGAAGTACTATTCTTGGTCTGTCCTGGGTCTTCCAACATTCCATTCCATGGAATAATTCCTAGTTCCAGTATTTGGGGGGGGGGAGAGAGAAAGAGAGTGAGAAATGTCTACCCCAGTAGTAGCTGGTGAGGTGGTGCACCATTACACTCCCGGCTTCCCAACATAGTGGGCTGCTGGTGCTTACCAAGGCTGAGGGGGTGTTATGTGGTACGGGGAGCTTGGCATGGTGGCAACATTGGATTGGCTCCACTGCGCCGCTCCACACAAGTTCCCTGTGTCCTGTCCCTCATATCTCCCTCTCAATAAGCACTAGCAACCCACTGTGTTGGGAATCTGGAAGAACAATAGTGCCCAATCTATGCCACCTCACCTACTGCTCTTTCCATTTTCTCCATATCATGTATAATTTTATACACCTCTATCATGTCTCCTCCTACATGCCTTTTCTCTAAGCTGAAAAGCCTCAAACATTTTAACTGTCCCTCAGAGGGGAGTTTCTCCAACCCCTTGATCATTTTTGTGGCCCTTTTCCTTTGGCTTAGGCCTATGCAACTTGTGAAATGGCAGAAGGGGGAGCCTCCAACCTGCTCTGGGAATGAGTTGCCAATTTGCATTTTTCTTTCTTTCTTTAAAAAACATATCCTGCTTTTATTTATAAGCTCAAAGGGTTGTGAGGTAGGGGGGCTTACTAAAAAGTTCACTGAGTACATAAATCACAGTCAAAACAGTCCAAATGACTAAAATTGGTTTCATACGATAAAACCAATAGCAGAATAAAATGAAGTTCAGTGTAACAGAGGGAGATAACTAAGCCAGCTGTGTTAAAGGCTTTAGCATCTTATCTGATGCTTAAAAGTGAGGGAGCCAAGCCAACCCCTCTGGGGAATTTACACTTCCACTCCACAGCCACTGCAATAGAAAAGTTTACTAAATCTTTGAAGAATTAACCAGGATTGGCTTCTGGTTTGAAGGCACCACTGCCAAAGCACCTTCAGGTGGATCCTCTCTTACCTCCGGTGCCACTACCCTTGCCCTACCATGGCTTTACTAGATTAAGGTGGCAGACAGCAGCAACGGGCTCCCAATGGAGCCACCACTGAAATTTCACACAGGGCCTCCTAACACCCCCCACCCACCCCGTGTTGACATTATTGAGCAAAATGGACCCAAGGGCTGACTCAGTAGAAGACAGCTTCCTATGTAGTCCTGAACTTCTTGTTTGTTAACCTGTTGCCATACTAAGCATTGCTCCATTCCTTCAAAGGGTGAGTCTGGGTGAAGACAGGTAGCCGTTTTGCAAAGTTGTAATTTGCTACTGTGTGCATGCAAACTGCTTAATAAACTGGTTGTTTGTTTACACAAGAGATGAAAAGACTCTTGCCACTCCCTTCTTCCCTAGTTTTCTCATTAAGCTAAAGAGCTTGGTCAGGTAGATGGATACCTGTAAGTCTTCCCTTGATTTAAGGAAATGCTTCTCCTTGAACCAAACCCCCAATTTCAGCCTGATTTTCATTTCAGGTGGAATTGGGAGTGGAGGGGCCTTCACTGAGTACCAACCTTCCACTGGAGCACCTCTGAAAACATCTAGTTTTGTGTTAAAATGTTGATCTGAAAATTGGACTGTTAACTCTGGAGCTAATCCTTAAGTATATCGAGTCCCCATCAACAACTGTATGCCCAGGCCCAGGGAGAGAATAAATTTATTTACTGGAGCTTGGTTTAATTTCCAAATGCCACATATGCGCTCATGGCCAAACTTGGAAAACATGGAGGCAAATTAAAATGAAGAATAAGCTACTTCTTGAGAATGCACAATAGTGGTCTTTCCTAGCTCACTGCTATTATTTTGTGTTTTCCAAGTTGACTTACTGAAGAATTCTCTGAGCTGGTTTACTCTGAGGTGGTTTACATTGTTATGTACTGTAAAATAGGTTTAGTATTTTACCCCTCAGTGACCCATTTTCTGCCAGTCATATCAAATTTGATTATTTATGTGTGTACCATTTTGTAACAGAAAAATAAAACAAAAGTGGTTTTTCCTGTGAAATACAGGAAGGTGCATTATAGACTATAGGTCCAGCTAGCAAAGTATTTTTGACACAATAGTTTGTGAGGAATTCTAAGCCAAACTATGGCTAAGTGTGAATGCATAGGCGTAACCAAGGGGGACAGCTACCCTCCCTAGATCAAGTAAAACAATAGAAATACTTAACTGTCCAATCACGTCGGTTATGCCCCCCCCAACAAAGTCCCCCCCCCAAAAAAAATCCTGGCTACCAGTGGCGTAGCGTGGGTTGTCAGTACCCGGGGCAAGGCAAGTAATTTGCGCCCCCCGGACCCCCTAACCCGTGGATTTGCGCCCCCTAACCCGTGGATTTGCCCTAACCCCAGATGTTGCGCCCAGTGCGGCCGGCCCCCCCTGCACCCCCCACGCTACGCCACTGCTGGCTACGCCCATGTGTGAATGCACAGTAAAATATGCCTGCTTCACACCTGCTCTGAAGGCTTAGCCTTATATGTGAACCCGGGTTTGTGGTTTGTCTCGCCCTAGTCAAACCACAAGATGCCCCCAAGGTTCCCATTGTCTGGGGGAAGACAAACCACAAGCTCAGATTCACATGTAACATTGGCCAAAGCATGGCTCAGCTCCAGGTAGAACAGAAACAGAAGGATGAAGAATGAAGCAAATGCATTTTTTACCATGTGTACTGACCCACACATAGGCACATTCATACACACAGCCATGGTTTAGCTGGGTGCTATTTATTTATTTATTTAAAACATTTATAAACCACACTTTTGTATAAAACATAAAAAGGCTGTGTACCGGGGGGGGGGGGGGGACAATGGCATTACAATGAAAATGTCAAACAAATCTGTAAGATGCGTGAATCAGGCCCAGGAGAGGCTTTAGACTGTTTTACTGTAAATGGGAGTCTTAGCTGACCTAGGAGATGCTCTAGCACTAAGCTAGGATCTTTGCAGCTGGGGATCTGTAGTTGAGTGCCTCCCACATACCTTGGGATAGAGGGCTTCCACAGCAGATATTTAAGTACTATGTATATGTATGTGTGTGTGTGTGTGTGTGTGTGTGTGCGTGCACGCCTATATACACACCTTTAATTTATGCTCTGTAAGTGTGTGGTTTTGTACTCACTGTGCCTTTCTCTTTCAACAGGTTTTTCGTGTGTGATAGTTAATTATGCTTCTCAGATTTTAGAATCATTTTAAAATGTTGTGGTCTCAAGTTACAGCAATGGTTTTAAATTGCAGTTGTTTACAATGTGTTACACAGTGCAGTCCTAGTTCTGTGGGGCATACACTCAAGCAAGTGTGAGATTGCCATATTATCCTGAATTTTACGTCCATTTCAGTGTAAAATGCCATGTTACGAATGTAGAAAAATGTGATAGATACATACCCTACAACCAGGGTTTCCCACTTGAGTGCTTTGTTTTTTTACCGTTGTTTTCTTCTCATATTAGATTGTGCTTCTTAACATGTACCTTTAATAATAAACTTGCAAAATATCTTCTTCTTTTAAAAAAAAGGTGGCACGCCTCCTCCAAGACACTACCAGCAACCCTCATTTTTGTGTAAGTACCATTATGAAAAATAATTTTAAAACATAGACCAATGTATTATTATGTAACAGTTCCTCAAAACGAGTTATTTATTTAAATAACTATAATTGTGCACGTGTTTCCGCATTTCCTCAGCTGCATTTGTGCGCATTTTGCGTTTCTTGAAATATATTGTAAGCAGCATTGGGAAGGTGGAATAATAGTAATAATAGCTTTAAAAAAAAAATCCACCCTTCCTTGACACCCCCCTCCTGCCCTGTGCGCGTCGACTCAGAAACCAATCCTTACTCCCAAGTAAGCGGGAACAAAGACTAAAGTCTGCAAGCCTACATCCACTTACTCGAGCGCAATGCCCTTTGAACCGAGTTGAACTTACTTCCGAGTAGGCGCGCCCAGAACTGCTCTTTGAGTGGCCTCCCCAAAAAAGTTGCAGGGGGCTGATGGATCATGGGGAAGCGGGGTGGGGGACTTAGTCAAACCCCAAAGCAACGCACAAAAAACGCACAGAGAGAGAAAGAAAGTAGTGAGGAGGGAGAGAGAGAGAAAAAGAGAGAGACATCTCTGGAATGGGGCCTCCCTCTATGGCTCTGAGCTCTGCTGCCTGCGCCTGGCTGGAAATGAAACACACCAAAGGAGCCGCCGCCGCCGCCGCCGCTCCTTTTATTTTTTTGGAGACTCCAAAAGGATCCTTCTTCCCTTTCATGTGCCGCCCCGCTCCAATCGGAATCCAGAGGCTGCCTGCAAGTGGTCTAATCTCAATGAGGTGTCAATCATGTTCCCCGGTGGGTGAAGTAAGGTCTTTTGTAACCGCCTCTGTTACAAGCGAGACTTGAGTCGAGAGGGAGAGGAGAGGAGAGGAGAGAGACGCAGCCAGGGCGCTGAGTTCAGAGCTGCTTTTGCTGCTGCTGCTGCTGCTGCAAGTGTGCATCTATCTATCTATAGATCTGCTCCTCTGTGCATTCCCCCCCCCGCCGCCCATCTCTCTTTTCCATCGTTGCTTTAATCAAGGAAAGGGGACGGTCGGAGCACATGGATTTCTAAAAAGAAGAAGGGAAAGGGACCCTCTTGGAATTGAGAGATTGTTGTTGTTGAAGAGAGCCAACAAGCCGGCAGTGATGCCCCCAGCTCAGCCCTGAAGCCCACTCCCGATGCCCTCGGGTTTGCAGATCCATGCCGAGAGATGGGGAAACTTCACTCAAAACATGGTAAGTTCTTTTGCACGGTTTACAGGGCGCGGGGAGGGAGAGGAGCCTAGATCTTGGTTAGAATTCACTAGATATCTGTGTATATGCAAGACTCTGCTCTAACCATCTTCTCGTTTTTATTTTCTCTCTCTCCCCCCCAACCCTGGATTTTCCTAGCTGCTGTTTGTAAACCTCGAGAAAGCCCAGAAGGTATGTTGTTTTTATAATTATTATTATTCCTGTTCATAAGAACTTCCATCCTTTTTTGCTTTCTCTCCCCCCCCAACTTTTTGCCCCTGTTAAAAAAAAGAAAGGAATGGGAGAAAAAGTTTGTGCTTTGGTGATTTTGGTGTGGATGCTCAAAGAAGTTCTCTGCTCTCAGGAGCGGTTCTGTTCTCTGAGTCTTTTGCTCCCTGTTCCCCTTCCCCTTCTCTCTCGTTTTGTTGCGGTTGGGGCAGGTAGTTTGGGGGCAAGAAAAGAAGTATGTGGGGTGGTGATGGAGGGCTTGAATGGGTCCCTTCCAGGGTGGCGACTGTGCCTGACTTGAGGCTTTCCTTTTCCTTCCCCAGGTGATAGTTTTGCTGTGAATGCCTCGCTGGCTCGGAAAGGGCTAGAGGACTGGATGGTGAAGCAGAAATACTCTGGCAGTGGAAGCAGCAGCGGAGGCAGCAGCCTAGGACTTCAGCAAGGCTGCCAGCACCGGGCTCTTTGCAGGCTGTCTGGTTCCAGGGTGAGTTCCCGATTCCTCCTTCCACCCAGCTTGCCTTCCCTCCTCTCCCTCCTTGCCATCAAGGCAGAAACTAGCTTGAACCTCTTCCAGACTAGGCTCTCTTTGAGTTGGAGCTCTTTGGGATGAAAACTTATCTTCCCCCTCCGCCCCCGCTCCACTTTCAGTTATTGCGCCTTTGGGAGTAGCCTTCTGAGTTGATTCGGTGCGCCCACCCTTTGAAGGAGTTGCAAGTTTGCAGGGCAGAAGCAGGCTCTGGAAAGGCGGCTGCCTTGCTTCCCAGTGTTGAAAAGAACATGGCTCTTCAGGAATGGGATGGGCAGATGGACAATCTCTCTCTCTCTCTCTCTCTCTCTCTCTCTCTCTCTCTCTCTCTCTCCAGTGTCCATTGTAGAAACCAAAACAGATGAGGAGAATCCTGGTGTGTGTGAGAGATAGGAATAGAGAGGTGGCTTAATTTATTGTCTGGCATTTTGTCATTTTGCTTCCCAAAGCCAACTTTTTCAGTGCCCGCAACCCCGCTAGAGTTCTTAGCCGGATGGGATACTTTCTCATGAGTGTCCCAATTTGTTCTTTTGGTTGCTTAAACATCTGCAATCTATCTTTTCCTTTTTTTAAAAAAATGCTGTTTATATGCTTTGCACGCTGCTTTGCCTTGAGAGTGCTCTTAGATATGAGGGGATTGTGTTGCTTCAGACTGCACACTTAAATGGGCAGGAACCCCACTGAACGCAGTCGGGCTTACTCATAAGTAAGCCTGCTTCCTTGCTCAGCCAGATTGGTACTTGCTGGTCGCAAATGTACTTTAGGAGTTTTTGTTTTGTTATTTAAAAAAGCTTTTCCTGAACATCTGGATTTTGCTTTTTCTTCTCTTTCAAAACAGACCTGGGGAAGAGCCTTTCATAGTTAGCAGGGGGAGGTCTTAGAAAGTTGTGTGTGTGCATGTTTGTGTGTTTATTGGTCTCTAAGGTAAACCTGTGAATTGAAGCTTCCCAGATCTAATGGTGCTTTCCCCCCCATTGTGTCAAAACTTAGTTCTGTCTTAAGATTGTACTCTGATAATAAAAAATAAGAGAAGGGTTTCATTTGTTTGTTTGTTTCATATTGCTGGAATGATCTGGGCAATACTGTAAAAAGTCTTTGGTAATAACAGATATTTGTCCTGGTCCCAAACAGATAATGACTCAGTGACAATCTATATGATGATTTATTTCTTACACTTTAATGTCTGTCCTTATACTTTGTTTGGTTTGCACTCTGGAGCTGTTGGCATTTGCACACTGCTGAGTCATTAGAAAAGATAGCACTTTGTTTGCACCCTGCTGATTGGATGAGATTATTTTACCTTGTGTTTCTGGTTGAAGCAAGCAAGTTCCTTTGTGGTGGGTGTGGGTGGGATGAGTGTTTAATTGAACCACCATTTGTGAAAGCAGCCTTGTAAACACGTCCAGATAAGTTTGTAGTCCACATTCATTTTAGTGAACCTGTATTCATCAGTTGTGGCTGGCATTAAAAAGAGCCATCTTTTGCAAACTTTATGTGCCATGTCATCTGGAGGTAGTGTTTACTCGCCATAGGTAACCTGGTGAGAGGCTATTTTCAAAGTGTATGTGACCAAGTTTAATGTACTTGCTACTTTCTTCTGAGCAAAATATGCAGCCCCTGATCAGGACTCTTATTAGGTGAAAGGAAAGTTGCTGTCCAGTCTTTTAGTAGTGCGTGAGTATTATTGCTTGCATAAATTGGAGGTGGGGGAAACTGCTCTATATTGAATGTTCCTGCTCTGATAGCTTTAGGAGTCACTGTATATTTTGGAAAGCCGTCACTTAAAATTGAGCCAGCATAGGAGTCTGATTCTTAGCCAAATAACTCATTTTTAGGTTGTATGCATGTATTTCCCCTACCTCTAGCTATTTGAGTCATACTATTTATTTATTTATTTATTTATCCCCCCCCCCCATCTGGCTGGGTTTCCTCAGCCACTCTGGGTGGCTTCCAACACAATATTAAAAATACAATAATTCAGGTATGTGTAATTAATATACTCTACTAACTCTACTAACCATCTTTATGGAAAGGAAATCCAAAGTATCTTGGTAGGAGAGCAGTTGTATTTTAAACACCAGGGATAACCATAGACTAATTGCATATGTGCATCCTGATGTTAATTTGAAATACTTAAATATTTATTTCAAAGTCAAATGTGCTTTCCAATCTCCATACATTTTTGCTACCTCACAAGATGAATGTGCTCAGCTGTACTCTTCCAGAGCGTATGGGTTGGGTTCCTCTATTGCAAAGCAACAAAGAGTTGGGTGGCACTTTAAAGGCTAACATGTTTTTGTTATGGCCAAAGCTTTTGCAGCCTACAGTCTGCTCCCAGTGCAATACTGTTCATCTCAACTTGGAAGGAAGTCCCATTGAGTGCAGTGGAATCTGCTCTACCTAAGTGTGAATAGGGTTCATCACCAGACTAGCTCTTGTTCTGAATCCAACCCATTTTGTGGTTTAATGAAATAAGAAGGGAAGGGATATTATTTTCTAAACTCTCCTTTTGATGCCCTTGGGATCCGTGCATGTATTTGTGTTAGAGCACATGCTTAGTTTCAGAAAATCCCAGGTGTAAAAAGCCATTTCTGTGGTGGGATGTGGAATCCAGTGTCCATGGCCTCATAATTCACTGCCTTAATTTCTCCCATTTAACTCAGTAATTGTAATAAGTAACTAAGATCTGTGTTTACTTCCTAATGCTCCAGCTGAATTGAGCAAGTTCCTGTATGCGTTTGCACTAAAGTTCCAAAGTGTCTCAAAGATCTTGGTTGTAGGTTTTGGTCTGCATTCAAAGTTGCTGGAAATGGAACTTTGTTCATTGCTTTTTTGGTAGACAGTTCAAGCAGATGGAATGAAAAAAGATGCCAAAAACATATTGCCTTTGGAGAAATATTATCCCCTTGAGTTTTATTTAATAGGGACAGGGAAGTGTTAAAGGGAGGGAAATGCTTAAGGGTGTCTAAGTAATTAGACACTTAGCTTCCCAGGAATTTCATAAGAATAACCTTCTATTGGAGTGGAAGACTTGACGCAAATGATGGAATCGAGAGGCTTGGTGGTTCTTTGGTGACATTTTAAAGCATCTGCATGCAGTTTTGCTCCAGATTTAGAAGAAAGGGATGATTTATTAAATAGTAGAGAAAGCAAGAATGGCATCAGTTAAAGTTATGCAGAGCTTTGGCTCCAGAACAAGGATGCTTCTGCTGTTGGCAGTGGAATGACTTGTCATCTAGAGGCACAGACACCACATTGTGTTGTAATTTTAATGTCTTTTGCTTTAAAACAACATGCAAAGAATAAGGCTGAGTTCATGTGGAAGGACTCCATAAATGGAGTAAGGATTGTACTTTAATCACCTGGTTTGGGGAAGGGAGGTTTGGCACATAGTTAAATGAGGGAACGCGCTCCCAAAGGAGGCAGTGATGGTCACTCACTTTGAATAATAGAAAATAAGCTTGCTTCGTCCTCCATGGGACAGACCTTTAGATGTTTGAAGATGGCTATCATATCTCCTCTTTACCAGGCTAAACATACCGAATTCCCTCAACCATTCTTCATACAGCTTGGCTTCCAGACCCTTGATCGTCTTGGTCTCCCTCCTCTACACACGTTCTAGCCTGTCCTTACTCTCCTTAAAAATTATGGTTGGATGGCTTCAAAAGAGCATTAGCCAAATTCATGGAAGGCAAGGCTATCAATGCCTACTAGCCATGCTGGCTATGTTCCACCTCCACTGTAAGAGGCATTGTGCCTCTGAACAATCCTTTCTGGAAGCAGCAGGAGAGAAGTGCTGTTGCACTCACATCCAGCTTGTAGGCTTCCCATTGGGGCATCTGGTCAGCCACTGTGAGAACAGGATGCTGAGAACTAGGCAGTCCGTTGGCCTGATCCAGCAGGTTCCTCTTACATTCTTTCGAAGTTCTGTTCTTCTCATGACAACATTGTAATTTCTTCTGTAGGTATGCAGGTTCAAATATTTCCTGGTTGGAATAAGTTTTGATCCCCCCCCCCTTGTAATTGCCTAAATAATGATAAATGATACTGAGTGACCACATTATTGTGTTTAGATATGGCTACCCATGACCACATCCAGTCTCCCCCTGCTCCTTAGCACCTGAGCTATCTTTTGACTTGGTTGAGCTAGGGATCTTTTACACCAGGTGTGGGCAACCTGTGACCCTAAGAGGGAAAGAGAGAGAAGTAGGTGGTCCAACTGCTGTTGGATCAGGCCCTAACCACTTTTGACTCCAAATCTACCCAACACTGGCATGTGACTCCCAACAGATCAGTCCTAATGCAGTGTCACCCTTGACGGAATAAATTTCATTACTTGCAGAACATAGGATGCTGCCTTATACAGGATCAGGGCACCAGTGTATCTAGCTCAGTGTTGTCTTCCTTGAGTGGCAGCAACTCTCCAGGGCTTCAGACGGGACACTCTCAGCTCTACCTGGAGATGCCAGGGATTAAACTTGGGACATTCTGCATGCAAAGCCGGTGCTCTTCTAATGTACTCCACTAACATTGATGTCACACCTCCCCTATGCTTGGTGTCCTTAACGTCTGGAGTGCGGCGTCCAATTCTGAACACCTTGCTCTGAACACCATGTTCTAAGAAGGTTCTAAGAAGGTTATTAACAAATTATGTTCTAAGAAAGTTATTAGACAAACTTGATTGTAGCAATCTTTGGCTCTGGAACACAACATACTGATAACCTCTTTTGCGTGTGAGGAGTGTATTTGCTGTGTTTGGTAAATTTTTTAGTAAATTGGAGAGCGTATGTTTTGGTACCTATATATGGTGGTACCCATGACCATTTGTGTCTGTCAATTACTTCCCCCCCCCACCTCCCTCATTCTGATTTCCTATGTGTAAACATTTTCTAGGGCTGAAGTTCACATAGACTTTTAGAACAATATTTGTCTGCTATTTTTACAAACGAGTCTGCATC